AATCTCCAAAAGTCGGTTATGTTATTTTTCATTAACTGTTCCAACTGAGTTCTGCAGGAGGAGCAGTTCTCACCATAAACTCTGATGGAGAACCTACTCGCATCTCATGGCACTAGAGGAAATCAAAAAATGATGCCAGCAGCTGAGAAACCCTGTGGAAGCATGAATCACTTCAAAGATGATGCACTATCCCCACATCCTGAGGGTGATCACAGGGCACCCATGACTTCAGCATGGACTTCCTGTGAAGTCCTGCAGTAGTCAATTTCCCTTTTTTTCTTTCCTGCACTGCTAAAGGCTGTGGGAAATTAAATGTCTCCCTGGAAAATTGATGAAAAGTACATGTTCATATGAAGGCTTTTCATCATGCTCAGCTGCTGTCAAGGAGCAGAGCACATCCAAAGCCTGCGTGATATAATGCTGGTATGTGTGTGTGTGTGTGTATAAACCAACATTTCAATATGCTGTTCAAATATTCTGTTAAACATCTAATCTGTTTACAAAACACATTATTTCACACTAGGTCAAAGTGTTAATTGTTTATATTTATGTTCAGCTGTGACTTTTTGGTAAAAATGGAACAACAACAGAAAAGACAGTGTTGTCACCTCATCAATGCCTCTCTCTTTAAGAACTTCATGGCATCATGGAAACCCTGTTCACAAAGGAACTGCAGGCCTCTGGCAGGTGGAGGGAAAAGAGCCTGGTTTAACCGTTTGATGTTCTCCACGGAAAACTGTGGAAACCAAAAGAAAAAGTGCACAAATATGGACGTCCCTTTAAAGACAAGACATTTCTGCAGACTTTGTACACAATATGTTCTATTTAGCAGCTCAACAAATTTAAAGAACGTCTAAATAAAACAGCTTCAGTTTATGAGGTACAGAAGACCATTTCAGTGGGTAATGGCATTTTGCCATTTGGTCATATTTTGCCTGGAGCTCATTTTGTTTTAAAAATTGTGATAAAAACATATCACGAACAGAAAAATGTGTACTATGAGTTGAATGTGTTGTTACATCCCCATACATTTTTGACAATAATGATGTAGAGTCCTTAAAGTGCTTGTTTAAAATCAGGGAACGTTTTGCTTAAATTGAAAGTATACACTCATTCACTTGTGCAATCAAAGTGAGATGAATAATTCAGTGAGTATAGACTGAATTTAAATTGAGTAATTGGAGACCTATTGAATATAGACATTTGGTGGAAACCTACTTTACCAAAACCAATGTCATTGATTTTACAAAGCAGTTGTCAATTCATCACTTCCCACATCTCTAAATGTATATATAATGTGTTATTGTGTGTGTGTGTGTATTTGAACTTCTTTATCAGGTTTACCTACAAGGGACACACACCTGCTAAGATGCTCCACCAGCATCACCATCATGTTACTACAACCAAACATGTTTATTTTCTCTTTACTTACTTACAGAATATATATATATATATATTCATTTTACAACAGTGCTTCTCAAAATCCTTTAGTCATTTGCTACTTTAAACAAGAGAAAATTTCCATTTTCTTAAACTAACATCAAGTAAAGTGTTATATTTTATAATAAATCAGCATCAATAACAAAGAGATTATTCAAAATAAATGTGCAGTTGTACCATTATCACTTGATCCTTAATGACACTGATTTAAAACAACTCTATGTCCAGGACTCACCATAATGTTCATGTTGGCAAGCCTCAGCTGAGTGCTGAAGCGCCCCCTGTGGCGAGGACACACATCCTGCGTCCCGACAAATGGAGACACTGTGATGGTTCGTCCCACAGGCAGAATTGGCAGGCTGTCAGTAAATCCTCCGTCGATCCATTTCTATTGCAACAAAAAGCTTGAAGAGTTATGACGCATACGGGAAATGAAATATATCAGGTTGAACACAAAAGTTTTAACTGCACTTTGACCTTTGGAGATGCTGTAAAAACATTGTCCAAACAAAAATGGCTGCAGTAGTCAGTCTAGAAATACTCAAGATCAGTTATCGGTTGTCTTGATTACTATATATAGTTAAAAACTCAAATTCTTTAAGCAAACTTGCTGCTCTATTCTGTCTGCTATTAATTTCAGTGTAAATCAAAGGTCGCTTTTTGAATTGCACGAGCAAAGGACACACAATAAAAATCCCATACTTAATAATATATACCATACTAAACAGTAAGTGTGATTACTTTGTACTGGACACAGTGACAACTGTCAAAGGTTAAACCTGTCCAAAAAATCAACAAGAGTGAACATTAACATAACACTTTATTCTCTACACACATTTAGCCACGTAGTAATTAGTGTTCAAGAGCAAGGAGCTGAGCATGAGAGGTCATCACTTCTCACACATCAGGTGTATGGTGGAAAATTATCTAATTTCACGTCACATTGTTCAAAAATATTATTTATTGACTGGGGATAATAACAACTATTCAAGGCCTGCTCCTGCTTGCGATATACTACAGTATGACCTAACCTTTAAGATAGAAATGTTGCTATTAAAAACTAAAAGGGAGCTGATACAGAAAATCCCTGCCTTTCAACAATTCCTTTGAGTATATCAATGTTGTGTTCAAATAAACACGCCCTGGTTTCAAAGTAAAGATCATCATATTACAATGCATATACCTTTTGGTGATGAAACTTTGGATGTTTGGCTGATAAAGGTTGGGAAACTGACTCAGCTTTTGGGTTGTACAGGTTAGCGATCTGGCAGAATGTACAAGTGAAGCAAAAAACGTTTACAGCGTATCCTTACATGATTAGGTTTAGTTGTATGGGAAGAACTGCCCAGTGTTAGGGGTGGGATAATTATGGTTATCCTCTTTGTGGCAGGTGATTACTGAAACACAAGTCCAGATTAGAGCAGATTATAAACAACTACTAAGTGCTTCAGAGGCACAAATGTGTATAGCATTGCCCTGACAAAGTTAATTTTGTCTAAAATGCTCCCTTAAATAACATTGTTTGTAATAATTTGAGCATGTTTTCAGCCGATGTAGTTTCTGTTGTAACTGCAGCCTTCTTGACAAATAGAAGTCAGATAAACTGGGTTCTTTTACTACCCTTGAACTTTTAACCTCAAAAACACCACCATTTATAGCAAACAGCGCTCTTAAAACCTTCAGGGTTTTTTTTATTAAACCTGATGCAAAATTGTAATGATGAATGCAAAAGAACACTTTGGTGAACTCAAAGGAAAAAAGAGAGTTGAAAAGTTTGTTCCTTAGGTTATTTCACTGTGTGCTGCAATGCTGCAAGCATCTGAAAACTCTTGTAAATCTGATGACAAAAGCGTAAACCTGGCAACACTGTCTGTAAGTGCAGACAGTCTCCATTCCCACCCCCCGATGATATAATAGAAACTGTTAGCACCAATTTATTTTGAGCACACAAAGGCCGATGTGAAAAGCAATGCTGGCTGAGCTGGACACACATCTGTGGCTCTGCCAAAAATCTTAAATAATAGATAAAGATCAATCCAGAGCAAAGAGAGGGCATGTGTTCCTGCCAGGCATCTTTAAGTGTGTGTGTGTGGGGGGAGGGGGGGGTGAAGAACAAGATGTAGTGTCTCTAGAGAACTTGTGCAGTATTTAGCACTTTTCACTTGTGGATGGACTACCAGAGGTCTGTGAATCTTTCTAGGACAGTAATGAGCCAATTACCTGTCCCCTTAACTCCACTGGTTCAAGTCCAGCATAGACAGGGACGAAGCTGCTGGCCAACAGAGCCTGTAGGAGTTAGAGGAGAACCATGTTAAATCACTAAAAACCTCACAGTAAAAGGAAGGTTCTTGTCTACGGTGTACATCATTATGCAGGTGTTGACTTTCTAAGTGTTCCTTTTCCTGGTCAAAGCAGTAAAAAGAGACACAAGGATGTAAAACAATCATAAACATTTACGGCAGTGTTTTCCTCAAAACGGACTGGTGTTGTGCTGCAGCACTGGGATGCGTGTACCTTTATGAGCTCCTCCCTGGAGGTGAACCTTGACATGATGTGGTTCTTGCCGCTTCTGGAGTGTGTTATTGAGATGTGAAGGCGTTCAGCAGCCAGGGTGTGAGCCTCACTGGGCAGAATATCTTCTATGCCCTCCCTAGAAAGATCGACTCATTACACACCCTTATTAAATCCACCAAGGGCTTTAGAAATATGCAATTTAATTTAAAAATGAGATTGGTATTTCATGACATGATATAGGTAGTTGTAAGGTTTAAAAAAGGTTGGCTGCTATTTTTGATGACACCAAAATTTAGAATTCTAAATATTACTGTTATATCTTTCAGTACTCACACACACAAACATATATATATATATATATATATACAGTTGTTTGAGTTCAAGTTCTAAAGATAAAATACTTAATATATGAAGTGATATTTTAATTACATAGACCTCTGAAGACAAATCTTTCAGTGGAGACAGAAAGTATGACTCGGGTTATACGTACCTTAGTGTCTGCATAAAGTTGTATCCTGGTGTGACTGCTCCAAACCTCTGCAGTCTCACACTGTCGGCAAACCTGTAGGTGAACTCTTTGCACTGCTGCAAGAGAAGGAACGATGTGTGAAGTTGTTTTCAGTCACTCAAGTATTTGTCTTGCAAAATTATGCTTTGCTTTACATACTAAGCTTTTCTTGTGCCTGACACATTCTACAATGTTGTAGTGGGCTCCTACACCTGCGGTAGAACCTAGCTCCTGACATAGCAGTGACAATATTTCTGGATGTTGTTTACCAGTAACAATAACCTTCCTGTTGAACCAGCAGCAGACTATCAGCTAGTGTTTGTATTATGATGCAGTAGCAACTTCAAAATATCTTTTATACACAGTACATGTATAATATATCTCAAAGCTAGGCAGGCTTTTTTTTTGAGGCTGTAGTAAGAAGCTAACATGTATCATTGCTCATTGCAATAGTCATTGCTCTGTTCCTTTCTTCTCTTAATGGAATGAACAAGGAGGTGAACACCCTACCTCCAATTTGTCAGGAGCTGTAATCATTACAGCGGCCACCAGGGCCCCGGCTGAAGCCCCTGCACAGACCCTAAGGGAGCCCATTAGCTTGTGCCCATGGCAGAGAAAGGCACTTGCGGCACCAAGGTGGTAGATCCCCAAGAACCCACACGCAGCAAAGGATAGATTCAGGACTGTCATCTTCTGTTCCTCTGCGATTACAATGGTGGGGCATCAGTCAGGTGTAATCCATTAGATACTGTCAAAAGTATTTGGAAAAGAGGGTGCAATAAACATCTCAATTATCTTCGTTCTAATCTTAAAAATGAATAGTTCAGTAATCCAACATATTTTACAACAACAGTGAGAAAACCTTGTTAATGCTTTGTCAGTGAATACCTTAAGTCGCACATTTTAGACTTCACATTTCAACAAACTCGCCACAGTTGTAAAATACACTTGCCTTCACTAGTTTTTGTGTCTGGCATTTTTAAACAGAGGACTACTTGGACAAAGCACAACATGCAATCAGAAATTGAAAACCTATCAGGGGTTAAACAAGAGTACAAGTTAGTTCCGTAACAATGTAACGGAAGCCGGAAGTACGCATTAGCATAAGTTCACATTAGCATAGTATTGCGTTCCGAGGTTGATGTACAAAAAACGCTTTCTTTCTTGGGTCATTGTAACGACATATGTCTAATAAAACACTTACGGATATCTCATTTAATATAATTGAAAATAAACCGCTCTAAATGTTAAATAAAAGCCACACCTGCTCTTGTGCATCGTTTACGGGACAGAGTTTACAGAGTTTAATTCCGGTCTACAAAGTAAAGGAAGAATTTCAAAATAAAAGTGCTACATATTAAATATGTACGCACTGTATAACAACTTAATGTACTTCATATGTTTTATGATGTAATAATACTCTTTGAGTTTTTCTATATTTTACATTGTTTAGGTAATGTGTCCTGTTTATATAGGATACAACAAAATAAATAGTTAAAAGTTAAAAAAGAGTTAAAATGTGATAATGAATCAATAATGAATAATCAAAACTGTGTTAAAAAAGAAAAGAAAAAAGGTTGAAACACAGTTGGATAAGGCTTCTGGAGGCTTTTTAAAATTGTCCTCTTAGTTCAGCACACTTTTGTAGTGGTTCTTTAAATGAAGGCAAACAGAAAATTAATAATAAAATGCATATTTGGCACAGAATGATGATCAGGATCATAGTTTATAGCTCTTTATTGTTGTTTTTTATTGCTGTATCACAAGGTGATGTTCTATTCATATACCATGTTAGTTAGTCATTTTTTTGCAGTGCTAATCATCTTTGTGGCGTCCTAGCTCTCCATATACAGTATTTAAAAACATTAGATGTAGTTCTAGCTCTCCACCTGACTATATATGGTATGTATAGTTCCTGTCTCACACTGCACTGCTTTAAAGTTCAGGCAGTTGACCCAATAGCTGTTAAACAAATGCTATCTCCATGGCAAATTTCCTTTCCAATGACATCACCAAAAATGACTCAAAGGAAAATTAATTTGAAACACACAAGTACTGCAGGAGGTGTGTGTGTAAATTTGTATTTATAAATATTTGTTGTGATGGCCACGTTGACCCTTCAACACAGAAGTTTGCCATGTACAAAACACACCACGATTACTAGACTAGACCCCTTAACATCTGCCACATACACAGCCGTTAGGCTTCTACATAAGCAGTCAAGTCAGATCCTCGCCGTCTCCTTCATCTCCCACCGCTCAGATCTCTAGAAATGGCTGCTCGCTCCGTGCACTTTGATACATTATACCCTCTTTCTTCTCTCTATGACTCTTCAAAGACCTCATCATTGTTATCCTCCTCTCATACAAGGGCCAGAGAGCAAAGTGCACCAGCCCCCTGTTGGATGTGCTGCTCAAGACGCATGCTGATACAGAGCAGTTTGTTGTGAAGTGCTGGATTGAGACAAACAGTGCGAGCTGCAGGGTCCTGCCAATCCTCAAAGAGACAATTTTTTAAAGTCTTGCCAATACACAGTTTGATCACAGATGTGGAAAATCTTCTACAAATAGTCATGAAACACAAACAGAGTCAAATTATCCACCGAGAATTAATCTAAAGCATATCTTAACCTCTTTTTCTCACAGGGAATCTAGGTCACTGTGTGTATATATATATATATATATATATATATATATATATATATATATATATGTGACCTATAGTCAGTGTGGTGTTTTTTTCTTACTGCAGTTTCTTAAGTTTATTCAAAAGTTTATTCAAGTAGGCCAGCAATGTCATCATCTTGGAAATATTTTAAAAATAAGATTTGGACCATAGGAGCGAGACCTAAGCTTTGTTCTGTTACGGTACGAGCAAATAAATACTGAATATGCTAATGTCTCTTCTTAGTTTAACATTTCCACCTCACCCACGTACTTATTTGACAATATTCTGTCTGTTTACTAGAAAGCAGGAGACAGCCTTCTGCTATTGAGAAGAAAATGAAACCGACTTTTAGCATTTTCTTTTGTTTCCTCACTGTGGTTTACTCAAACACAAGGTGTCATTTTTCACAGAGCTTTGACAAGTACATAACACTGCTTTCCAGCCCAATGCACATTTACTGAAACCCAACCTGAAGAAGTATTGTTATGGTACCTGGTATTGGCAAGTACACAAATCAAAATACTTGGACTTACACATGATGGTTTGTCACAAGAAGTATCAATACAACACAAGATCCTGCCTCCACTGTATCATTGATACTGGGGATAATGTATAAGAAATAAATCAATCATTTTGTATGCTTATTGACCAGGTGGGGGCGTACATATGAGTCCACCATTTAAGACCACCATAGTGAATGAGCACCGAACTACGGAAGCTGGTCAAGCCCATCAGACAGAGACCCTAGGGCACACACAGAGGTGACCTCTGGGAGCGTGGGGGCAGCATTCCTAACAGGTGCTACTTTCCTTGGAAATACAGTCTAATGCATGGGAGCAGTCGCTCAACACTAAACTCGTGTTCATGGACCAGTGAGTCAAAGTGATTCTGTTGGTCTCAGCTCAGTGAGCATGACCACCTCAGGTGAGGCTTAGAAAGAAAATCAACTGGTAAACAGGGAGCTTTTCCTTGTAGCTGTAGCTTTTGCTGGATGAGAATAAACTAGATGTCGAATATTTCTGACTACAGGGTTTCAAGAGGCCCGTAGGAAACACATGCAAAAAAAGATGTTACAGATCCTGATGCCAAAATGATCATTTCATGCTGACAGATCTTCTGTTCGCTCTTTGGTGCGATGCCAAAACTCTAATTTTCTTGTTAAGACCCCAGGCTACTGTCTAAACAGCTGCAACGGAGCCCAAATGGCAACAGACAATCTGACAAGGTCTCCAGAATCAAACGTGAGGGTGCTGCAGTGTCACCAGCAGGGAGCAGTGTTGTAAAGCTGTCCCAGATGGCAGTCATTTTGGAGGGGTTGATGACACACGCGACTGGTAAAATTAGGCATTTTTCTCCAGTGTGTCCACTTTTACAAGCCCACGTTATGCAGCTGAGACCTGGGTAAAAATGCAAACACTTGCACTGACACTTGCATTCCTGAAAAATGTGGCCATAAAAACCTGCTGCTGAGAATATATTACAGAGAGAGTACATAATATATTTTTAGTGATGCGTTTAACAGGTTGTTAACATGTTTTTTTTTTCAAGAATCAAAACGAACTGATTGATGCTGCGTCTTCATTTTATCGTGTCCATGCAGCACTCTTTGAGTTTGCTCTCATTTTAAAACATAAAATGAGCCTTCAGAAAAAAGTGAGTTATATCTTAAAAAAATAATTCGCAAGAATGTCACCAAAATAATATTGAATTTAAATTAAGCTGTCATTTTACCGTAGTTCTTCATGGTTTTGAAGGTACAGGGAAACTCTCCTCCTTTTAAGATTCTTCCCTCTTTTTTGCATCTATGAATGGGGTTCTCTAAATACAACAAGAAAAAAAGAAGAACAGTCGGTGGAAAAGTCCCCTGTTAAAATCAGGTAATGTTCACACAGTACACCCCCTAACCTCACCCCCACTTCGTTATAATTCCTTTTATAAGTTGTCTTTTGTTTTTACTCCTGTCTCTGAGAGAAAAGGAAGAGCACTAGTGAAAGATAAACAACTTCACCTGGAGTAGAGCAAACACGAGGCACAGATTTGTTGTTTGTTACACAGTGGTGTCTGAACTACAGCAGATGGCTGATGACTTTGATTACCCTCACTGTTAAATCAAACCGCTGAACGCTGACTACACTGTCTCTCACACTCAAACATACTTCACTCGGTCAGAAGCATAAAAGGCATCCTCAGCCTGCAGCAATTCTTTGGAGAGCATGCCTTCACCCTGCTCTGACAGCAGAATCAGGGCTGAGCATGCTCAGCCCTGATTCTGCTGACAGGTTGAGTGCCCATGAGCCAGTGCAGAGAGACTAAATAATAATAATAATAATAATAATAATAATAATAATAATAATAATAATAATAATAATAAAGAATAAATAATGGCAGCATGATGAAAACCACAGGGCCCCTGGGTATTCTGTTGTGCAGAGAGAGACAGTTTACAATCTGTCTGGTAGAGAAACTCCACTGCTAAAACGTCCGTTTAAATTCGGTCTGGTTCTGCATCTGATGATTCCACAGATGATAGTGGACACCCGGATTCACAGTAATGAGACAGCCCTTGTCTAGTTTTGACCAGCTTCTCATGTTCATTTCATATGGCGTGTTTTGGAGGACGTGCAAAGGTCGAGAGCGCTCATTTAGATTCACATGCTTGGCTCGATGGGACGGTACTGATGGACTTCACGGTACGCAATCAATTTCCATAATCTAACCTCAGGCTTCACAGCCTGAGTGGTAATTCCTGCAACACATCACTACATGCACAGCCAAGGGTGATTTCTAACTGTAAGATGAGCCAACGACGGGGAGGCAAAGGGCAGGTGAAATTTATGAGGGGTATCACAAAAGCTTTTTTCCGGTCGTGGGAGGTGGTTTGGCGTCTCACTGTTTACACAAGGAATCAGCCTTACACAAAGACAATACAACTTAATCTCTATGGTAAATCCTGAGTATAGAAAATTAATTCTTGGTATAGAGATGAAGTGACCTGGCTGCAGACTTTGTGATGTACCAGAAAAGAATTAAAAGTTTGAGACCACAACTGATGTTAAAAAAGAAAAGTACAGTTTCATTATTCAAATATTGTCCGTCCATACAGAGTAACCTTATGTACAACTTTTAAGTCAAGAAACTAGCTTCTATGCTGGTGAGCATAGCCATAAAATCTCTGAAGCTCTTTCTCACTCTCAGATGTCCAAAACAGGTTATATTGTCTCTTGGCAGATTGTACCATGTTTTCACCTGTCTACCTGTCAGGTATGGTATTTAGCATTAGGTTGGTATTTATTATCAGTATCACAACTGCAGATGGTGGTATTGGAGGTAAATGGTATTTATCCCAGGAACATTCCCAGGATAATGCCAGCCCCGATTCTATTACAAGTGTGTCATCAGCATGTGTAAACTCTACTGGCCGGCCTGCAGTCCAGATCTGTTTTCTAAGGAAAATATCATGCACTGTGATAAACCATGAGATAATATATAACAACGAGATAATTAAACACGGCCACAGCAACATGAATATAGAATTAACTTCATTGGCAACATCCAAGTAAAGATTGCGTCCCACATCTTTAGATGTGACACATGGTGCCGATGCTCAGAGACTTGACAACTGGTCATTTATTTAACCCTTTTCCAGTTGCCATGTCCTACACTTTGAAACCATCATCTCTGGATAACAAGTGTAGTTTTAATAGTTTCACCCATCAATTCTCCAGCACAATGCAGCTGGTTAGGACAAAAGTACACTGCACAAGGCCATACTGCGGGCTAAGGAAACATGCTCTTCTATTAAGACTTTCCATTCTGGGTGCTGAGCAAAGTGAGTAAAAAGGTTGGCCCAAAGCCCTGAGCCATCTATTGGCCACACTGTGTTCACAGACGGGTTGTGTTTGTGCGTGTGTTTAAGAGGGGAAAAAAGGAGCGAATAAAGCAGCCCAAGGAAACGATCAAAGCCATTTTCACACCTTAATGGCACAAACCAAGTCAAACCCATTCTTCATTTCACATTTTCAGTGGGAGTGAGAATTGATGGCTGTGTAGTTACCACATCACTGCGACTGTGATTCACTCAGAGCCAACTGTAAATAATTCATCTTGCACATAAGCATCATTATGCCACCATTGATTCCCGTTCAGAACTAAGACTTTGTGATTATTATTTTTTTTCCCTTTTTGTCAGTGTGTCATTGAGCTTTTATTGGCTTAGACAGCAGTTGGCTGCAGGTGGTTTGATGTGACAGCGGTGTTTGGAAGAATTTATGATGCATCTGTGTGTATAGTGTGTGTACGAGCAGGGAATGTAAAGTAAACAGTCCTGACTGTGCAGAAAATTTACACGCAGGTAATTCTTTTCCTATTGTTAATCAAGTGGTGAAGTAATAAATCAAAATAAGTGATCGATACAACTGCTGTGAGCACAAAATCTACATATTCATCTGTACATACAGTATCTGCACTTAATGGCAGAAATAAAAATGTTTTATATATATATATGGAAATAAAAAAACAGTCTTAGTCCAATACCACACACAAAATGTAATAACATGTATTTGTCATAAAATACAAATAAACTAAAACTAAACATTTTCTGAAATAATAATGTTTTGAAAAATTGAAATTAAAAAAATTGTTTTCATTTGATTTCCAAGATAAAATAAAGATCTGATCCAAATTCTAAAGAAGATAAACTGTCCTTGCACTGAAGCATACAGCATTTCTGTAGTACTAGGACTGGAATTTTCTCGTTAATTTTTTTTTCTGTGCTGTATGACAAAAGGTTGGAAAACGCTGCTCTAACGGCTTCAACTTAAAACAAACTCCACAGTGCTGAGTCTTACTGTAGCTGCTCTCATAACTACTCTCTCAGTACTCTGTAGTATTTGGTTTAGATGTTCACCTCTGAAACACCTCTCTGACCTAAAGAGATTCAAGCCTCTCTTCTCTGGGAGTGCTTTCCAATCCTCACTTCAGATGTTGAACTTCAGAAGAATCCACTTGGCAACACCGTAGCCAAACTGAGTCAAATGTTCACACATTTATGTGCAGCTTTTACAGATTTGGAATGTTTCATTGATGTACACAGAAATCCCTCTGCAGAACACTGAAACCAGGATCCACAGGGACACAAGTTGTCTTCTAACAGCCTGACGTATCGATCCCGACACATGTAACATAACCTTAGGCACTTACACCAGCACCTTCACCAAATTAGCCTCATGCTCTGACACACTCTAAAGTGTAGAAATTGTATTGTATTGTATCATTGTAGAAATATAATGTGTTCGCTTTAGGAATTTGACTTCTTAGACAAGGTTTTAACTCAACTATACCTTCGTCTTCTCCCAGGGACTGAATCAATGACCTCAGTGGTTCATTTCACTCCACGCCTAAGCAGTTAGGGGACTCTCTGTGAATCTCTTCTGCTGTTAGCAATTTGGAAAAACAACATCAGTTGTTGTTCAGAAAAATTAAACAAACTGTCAGCTTTCCAACAATGTGTGCTAGAAGTTCCTTTCTGGAATCAGAATGACAGCAGCTCAACTGTCATTCCCCTTCCTTTAAATCAGTCCTTCTCAATTAGTGGGGCGGGCCCACCTAGGGGGCGTGGTTAGGTGCTGTGAGGGGCTTCAAATGGAATATGGCATGCATATGGACATAAGTTTACCACTGCTGTAATGCATGAATGATAATAAGCCTCCAGTCACTAGGTGGCAGCAAAGCATACAGTGGTTTGTACAGAAAAAAATATATACGTTATCAAACACTCAATATTATTTCAGTTCACAAGGTGTGGGTCGGGGAGGAACGGTGGGACATATAAACATTTCTGTGCATTTGGATATTAACTTTTTGCCGATATTGTCCAAACACGTAATTTCCAAGTCACATATCAACCAATACCAATATAACGGGGCAGTGGTGGCCTGGTGGTAAAGGAAGTTAAGTCTCCATTGTCACTAAGGTGATTGGTTAAAGCAGCGTTTCCCAGTTATTTTCTGCTATGGTACTGTAGTCTGTGATGTTTCATGTTTTTTCATCTGTGAAAATATAACTCTAGACCCTTCTATTTAAGACATCTTGAAAATTAAAATATAATTATTGCTAATGTTTTATATTTATCTATTTAAGCCTTTTAGATTCTGCTTTGAAATTGTACACGTTATGTTTGTGTATGTTCTATTTTTGTAATCTGAAAATACACTACAGTATATAAATAAACCCTGGTGTGGGATCAATAAAGTCCAATCTAATCTGATCTACTCTATCATAATGGCAGGGTTCCATAATGATGCAACATCATGCTTTTACATTAGGGGGCTACAATATTGTGACCCTCCCCTGACAATTTATTGCAGGACAAATAAGTTCATAGTTGCATTGGTGTCATATATTTAAAACCTGAAAACAGATCTGCAGTAAAACTGTACAGTTGGAATGATTCCATTGTTGTTGAGCATTTAGACGTTTGTGTATGTGTTAAAAAGCTACCTTTTATTTCACACACTGTACACTCAAACCCCCGGGGGTGTGTTTCAGACCCTTTGTTTGCTACTCAAAAATAAATGGAGGAAGAATTAAAGCACACAGCTTTGTTTTTTTTCATAGCTTTTCTCCCCCTGCCCCTCAGGAATATCAGCCTCAGTTACACCATCATTATTCACTCTCTCAGCGGGCAAAGGTCAATAACGCATACTGAAGAAAAAAAAAAAGAATAAATAGCTGATTAGGAAGCAGAAACAGAGATTGTATTATAAGTAGAGTGGGCTGCAAATATATTGATATGGGATTTATCTTTTCTTGAATAATAATAAAAAATCACTGGGTCTCTGTGGGTTTTTCTTCTTATATAAAATGCTGAGCGCACATGTAACGAGCATGTAGTATATCATGTTTACAGACTTCACACCCAAAGTACACAAGGAGAGGAATAATAAATACAGACAGATGGTATTTACAGCATTTACAGAGAACAGAGAAATAAGTACAGACAGTGAATCAGAAGCAACAGAAATTATGTCTTAGTTTGAAAACTAACGTATGGGAAAATGCAGTAACAAAATAGTTTTCTAGAAAGGTTCATACACTGTAAAAAACAAACAAAAAACAAAACAAAAACAAAGTCTACAGTTAGCTGCTGCCTTGTGATTAACAGATTGGATAATTCCATTCAAGTGTTCAAATGTGTGTACCTAATTAAGTGGCCACTGAGTGTAATTTACACCAGTCGGTGGTTGTCTCTGCTAATCAGCAGCCACTGCTTTCACCTGTGCTCTGACAACCTGCTGTTCAGAAGCCGTTGGTTACAGCTGTGTTCACAGTGTGACTTCATGAACATCACAGACTGCTTCACTCTGTGGCCTTGCTTGGGAAAATGTATTTTCTTCTCAACTGTTTGCTCATCCTCCAGGGGTCAGATTATTTAGGTCTGTCTGTATTTATTTTACCACATCACACATTTTACTAAATAACCACATACCATTCTAGCAGTTGGTGTGCTAAACAAATTACCATAAAAAATGGAAAATACAGACTTATCACTCGAATTTTATGTGATAATTAATATTATTTTTTGGTTTTAACCTGTTTAACAGAGTTATAATACAAATACTGAGACCTAAAATTGCAGAAAACTACTGCAGTAGTAGGCATATTTTATGTAAAGAAATTTAAAAATAATATTTAATATTCTATATTTAATATATGTAAATACATTCTCAACCCCCATGAGCATGAATTGGATTAACTTTCAAAACACATATAAAAAAAACAAGAAAAAGAATTTGAGTTTTGATGGCACTCTAATACTGAAGGACAGGAAAAAATCATTTTCTCATGCTTTAGAGTACATCTAGAAAAGTTAAATACCACCATATTTCAAGTATAGTTATGCGCATACATACTAGGTTGCGTGGTAAAGTGGAGAATAGTTCCACGTCCTTTTAGTTTGTTCAGTCCCCAGTAGGACACGGCCCGCACCTCCACCGTGTAGCTCCTGTTGGACTGTATGCTGTGCAGCTCCACCTGACACTACACACACACAAAAAGGAGATTTTATTTAGCTGTCTTTGTAGAAGCTGCATGACAATACACCTCAATGGGTAATATATGTGTATGTATGTAAAAAAAGAATCAGTTCCCTGCAGCACATTTAGCAGTGGTTTCTGCCTTTAGACTTTTTACTGTGTGATCTTGTACTAAGAATCATCAAGTTAAAGTGTAGCACAGGTCATTTTTGTTAGATGCTTGTTCTTATCCAACAGTGTTACCAAACAACGTGTAAATACCTTCCTGCCACTCTTCTCTCAGTGAAATGTCTTGACTGATTCTGTAAATCTGCAGCCAATTTTCAGGCCCTTTAGCAGCCTTGGCTGCGTAACCGCAACAGAAGGTCCACTTAGAACGCCTGCATGTCAACACTCAAATGTATCTTCAGTGCATTTTTAACACTTGTTTTTTTTTCTTCACACATGCAAACAGCCCCCAAAGAGAAAACCAAACCTGCTTACTGACACCTTGTTTGGTAATGGAGGAATTATTAACACCCAGGCATAAACATTACACCTCATTTAACACTTTACTGATGTAGGCAGCAGTGGATAAACATCTCCTGCCTTGAACTGTACTGTATATACTAGAGAACATTGTTTGAAGTAGAAAGTTCTAGAACAAATCTGAAAGACAGTTCCGTCTGTCCTCACCCCTCTCACCGTCCTCTTCCTCTTGGTCAGGGAAAATGAACCTGGTCGTCCTACTGCCGTCCAGCTCCAGCTGACCTTGTAGTAATGGACAGGGACATGGAGGTCGGCAGGCATGCTCCACTGGAGCCTGGCTGATACTGTTCTGCCAGGGCCAAAGCTCATGTTGGCTACTCTGAGCTCAGTGGGAGCAGCTGGGGAGGAGGGTTCTGGAGGAGAATTTTAAAGGATGTTTATCACCTTCAAATTTTGGTTACAAAAAAAAAAAAAGAATTTAACGCAACCTGACAAACAAACATAGTTGGACCAGATGGTCTGACCTCTGTTGGACTGGATGTGTCTGCTTGGTGTGGTGAAACCTCGGGTTCCCTGGGCATTCACTGCTGCAACTCTGACCTGGTACCAGCGACCAGGTCGGATGTCAGAGACCCTCAGGTCCTGTTGTGTGGTCTGGGAGAGAACATAAAACACATCCTAATTAGGAAAGGAAACATATAATGACAAGGGATGTTTTTTTTTCATTTAGGGAAACCAGAAAACACCAGAATACATTACAGTAGGCTCAGGGATAAAAGAAAAATGTTATTTAACCTTTGCTATTTCCTGCCAGGAGGTGGCAGTGTCTTCACTGGGCTGGATGCCAAAGTTCCACCTCCTCTGTAGGATGTAGACCACCGGCTCAGCTGAGATGTTAAATCTTGAAGACCAGCGAACCAACAGGTGCCCTGAGGAGAGTTCTTCGAAGCCCAGCCTCCTTCTAGTCTTCAGTGGAACACCTGAGAGAACAGGGTTTAGCCTGTTAGCCTGTCGTCAAACATGGACTCGTGAAAATGGATCCAGTGGATTGCAGTAATGTACTGCAGAAGATTCCAAAAACCACGAAAAACTAGAGGTTAGCTTAGCTTAGCTTACCCAAGACTTGGTGTAGAATGACTGTTGTAATTGTTAAATCTTTAAATTAATTCTTTCTCTGGCCTAACATTTTGAAGAAGACTGTGTTATATGTACTGCAGCAGAATTAGCATGTCTCAGACTGAACTATTTAGAGGTGTACAGCTCCATAGAAGAGAAGAACTCTGTGCTATAATATAGCCATCATGGAGGTTGTTTGTGATTGCAGATTGCAGCAAATGTCCATGTTTTCATTTATACACCTGGACTTGGGTAAAAACAAGTGTCAGAGTAGTTTGAAGAAAAATAGCAGCACATTTGAAAGGGATGATTTATGAGACAGTAGTGAGACCTGCTCAGATGTATGGTTAGTAACTATTTGTTACTGAGATATCAATATAAATTCAGAGGACAGGGTTGAGCAAGGAGTGATTTATGTGGAATGATCTGCAGTTTAAATGAATTGGTGGAGATTTGCACCGGCGAACAATTTTGTGAGGCAGCACTAGTACAAGCTCCTCACCCTTGAACAGGTCCTGGGGAGTCTGGCAGGTGCGGCCACATCCATTGAAGCAGCATCTCTTCAGGGCAGAGCATTCCTGATCGTTGTCACAGCTCGCCACGCAGGCAGCTGCAAAACCACTGGCTCTCTGCGGCGCTGGACAGCTGCCCTGTTTTGTCACCATCACTGACTGAAGGAACTCGCAGCTGGTCACACACTCCCACTGCTTTTTGGGAAACGCCTCCTAGACGTGTCGTTAGAGGAAACTTTATAGAATTGGAAACATTTTGGATTTCAGATCCTGAGGTTTTTGCCGCACTGCTGCTGTGGATATTTTTTTTCTTTCTAGCTCTGTTTTTGTGAAAATAAGCTGAGAATGGTTAATGGATGTTTTATTAAATCAATGCCACACAATGACTGCAGGCTGTTTTTGTTAAACATTAAAAAGGAAAAGCATGAGGTGTGTGTGGGAGTTGCACCGTACCTGACAAAGATCTCTGCAATTACCCTCCTTCATCTCCCAAGAATCGTTACAAGGCTCCAGGCACTGTAAAAGTGAGCGAATCACAGGATTTTAAGGTTGAATCCATTTTTATAGGATGATTAAGAGAAACATAATTTACTGCTAGATGGTTTTAATTACTGTCCAAAGTGTGTTGGAAATGTGGGGTTTTGTTCTGCACCAAAGTGTATGGCACAGTTACTGTACATTTTAAGCCCTTGGAGTGATTATCAAAAATAACCCAATAATGATTCCATCAAGCTAGGAAAAGAATGAGTGTAATATAAACCTATATGCAGATGACATCATTTTATTTCAGTCACAGCCTGAAAAAGTATTTTCCACAATTATTAGACCTCATTAAAAACTTTGCAAGCTATCAGAAAGTGACCGCAGGCATCAACTATCTCATATAGCCATGTCCAATAACCATGTTCATCTGTATTTTACGGCTGTTGAAATTAACACATTAATCACGTTAATTAATTAGATGAATCTGATTCTATTATTTTATGCATTTTAACACATAGAATAACACTGTAATTTATATCCAATAATTTCATTTAGTTATCATTGCTCTTATACACAGTCAATAAACACTTGTGCAATGTAGAGGGACGTACTTAAGAATACAGACTTAGCTAGATTAGTAATGATTAATCACGATTGGTCATGATTAATCGTAATTAATTGTGGCTGTGATAAAGTCACAAATAAACACATTTCAATTCTTCTGTGATGTGGAATAAAATCAATAGTTTTTCTAATGGATCTCAGTGCCAGGAATAAAGTGTCTAAGAAGAACTTTAATTATTTTATTGTTAATATCATTACTGTTGTTATCTGTAATTATGTTTTCATTCTATCATTGTTATATCCGGCTTGTACATCGGTCTACGATCAGTTTTAATCATACACTCGGCCAAGTGTACGAAAAGAGTTTTAAAATGTGTTTGTCAGCTGGTTGACCGAAGGCAAACTCTCAAACACCAGGGGAGACAAAGAAATATTTTAAAAGCAAGTTGGGTTAACAGCATCGCCCTCCACAGCGTAAGCAGAGGCAGCGGAGGGCATCCAGGCGAGGGCACTGATTGTAATTTCATGCTGTTGTGAGAAACAGTGGGGAGAGAAGCAATGTACAGAAACGGCACAAGGACACAAAGACACGGCTGTTTGACAGTCTGAAAAGTGTCCCCGAAACTCTGAGGAGAACTTAGATGAAAATTAGATGTTTAAAAAAGGAAAACGTGTCCTAAAAAAACTACCTTCACATAAAATGGATGCAGAAATAATTACTAAAGAATTACATTACTATGAAGTTTTTCCATGCAAAGTGATTTTAAAGAGCAAAGAGTTTAACATTATAGTATCTTTCATATGTCAGTGGCTTTATAATGTATTAGGTCCACAGATAAAAGCACTGTTTTCAGCTCTCAGCTCCACAGGAACCACCAGCAACAGCCGACACTTTTTACACCTAAGTTGCTAAACAAAAACACATTTGAACTTCGGAAGAGATGCAGCAATAAAGAAATAACCCCTGCTGGTGACTGTTGGCGGATGTCATCACCAAAATGTTGTTCATTTTAAATACATATTAATAGTATATAGTTTGATGGGTTACTGATGAGCAACACAATTAATCATTTTTAGTCAAAAATTAAATAAAAAATAGAGGTAAAATTAAAACAACAAAAATATGTAAGATTAGAAAAAAGTTTGTATTTTTTTTATTCTTTACAGTGTTGCATCTCTGCTCACTGACAAAGCAGAGATATAACCTCCACCCCCACTCCCCCATCTGCCCTCTGTCTCACTCTGGTGATACAGTATTTCACATGGCAAATCCCCACATGGCTGTGAAATAGTCATAAAGCCAGATGACAAGAGTCTATTAACTCTGTCAGCCTCTGCCCATATTTTACAATAATTAATACAATAAAAATAAATTGAGCAGAAAGTATTAAATAATTTTGCCTTTAATAGCGAGCTGAAGTTATCATTTAATTAAAAAACAGAACGATTCAGCCCTAACCAACAGACTGACAGGATGAATATGACTAAGACTGTCCTGGAGCATTCCTATTGGATCTTTTTATTCAATCCAGAATTGTTGTTTTTTTTCAAGCAGCTGGTAATTTCATTCTCCCCCAAAGAGTTTAGAGTTGTTCTTCTTCATCGTCTTCTTCTTAAAGGCATAGAAATTGAAGATCGTGTGACTCTGCAGTGAACCAGAGTCATCTCAATTTGTGCTTCCAACAAGGAACTTAAACCTTTACTACCAACTTTTACTATTTAATGTGTATTATACTGTACGTGTGTACTGTGGTTTCCTCTCACAGTACAAAAACATACACAGGCTGTTTTTAGTTGGACACTCTCAATCACCATGCCAAACCCAGGGTCCAGGGGACAGATTTGGTACACTCCACCATTTAATGTGGCACACCAGAGTTTAACATATATATTATAGATAGTACATGTATTTTACTATTGAGTCTGAACTAGTGTTTCCTGGATTAGACCAATGCTTTGAACAAATTCCGTGTGAGTAAAACACAAACGATTCAAAAAACTTTTTTTTTAATTACATGAAACATGACCTCATCCACCCAGAGGACATATTTGACTGTATTACAGTCTCACTGGGCCAAAGAGTATCTTCTCGGACTCTAGCTCATCTACTGCACAAAGCTGTGAAAGGTAAACTGACCTGAACATTTACATACAGAACATTCTGGAAATAGTTAGAGACATTATTCCCTGTTCTAAAATGGAACGTCGTGTCTGCAGGCCATCATACTAAAGTCCAGACCGAGAGGGACTAAATAGATGAACTCAGCTGTTACTGAAGTGCAGTAAAGAACATCTCTAAGCATTTTCTATATCTCAGTGCCAGCACAGCCATCTCCGCAGACGGCTAATCCAAACTGACGTCCCCACTTTCACACCTTTCTCAGTGGACCCCAGGTTCACTGTTCAGTGTAAATCAAGCATTTCATTACACCACACTGCAAATAGGACCAACTGTGTCGGACTTAGTGATGTGGTTGAGAGATTACACAAAGAGCCTCAGTTCTTTTATTTATTTATTTATTTTGCATTACATTCCTTTTGCTCTAGCCACAAAGTGAATTTGGTTTAGAGGTTGGGTTGCAGGTCATCAACTTGACTGGTATTCATTCAGGGACCTGATTGTAAGCGTGTGTGTGTGTGTGTGTGTGTGTGTGTGTGTGTGTTTTGGCAGCAATTGTGCAGCCAGAGGTAAAGGAGTAAACAACTTCTGTGCTGATGGTGCAAATGCTTTTTCTTTCCCTTCCTGTACTGTCCAGAAAAAAATATATTTGTCAAGAAAATACAAACCACATCACATCTTGGGTTCTGTTTCAGCAGATTAGGAGATCAGGAGAACGGCATCAGCTAAATGTGAGTGGGCTGTGTGGAAGTGTGTTGCTAATCAACTCTGGTACTTGTAAAGAACTGATCTAGAAATGCTTGGAGAGGCACCAGGGGTCCTTGATGTTGATGATGACGAGGTGAATGGTCTGGAGTGGACTCAACACCTTAAGCTTCTACAACAAGACACTATTTAATATTTTTAAAACACCCACCTTGTGGGTAAATTACTAAATATTGCTAACTTAAAACACAAAAAATATTTCCTTTTTAAGGTTTTGATATAAGTGGCTTTAACATAGTGGGCAGAATAAGAGCAGAAAATTGAATTAATATAGACACAGTTATGATTGGTTGATGATAATAACAATAACTGAAGAAAGAATATTTCTAAAACTACACTTCCCACCATACAGTTCTGCCTCCCTCCAACAGAGGGAGGGATTTGTCTTTGTCCTTAAGCATCAAAATGTGCACAAATCACAGAATAAAGGTGAATCATTGATGCTACACATTTACGATTATTTTTCATTTCTTCCTATGTCTAAACAAGATTTCCAGACGCAGCACATTTATTACTGCCGCTCATCTTTTCCTCAGCGTTTCTTTATCTGCCGAAAAACTCCTTTTCATATGATGTATAGCATGTCTGAGAGTAAAAGGTCCAAGACTGGTGATGAATGATGGCGCTGAGAAATAGCTAATAACCACCACGCTGCAGCAGCAGCAGGCATCAGTGCACGCACATGAGCCGGTATATGAAGTACGCTGTCGCTGGTTTGTATGTGCAGTGATGTATGGCAGTGAGGGGCAAAAACAAACACACACACAGACACAGACACACACACCTTTACATCGGCCTCTGGACATGAACACATGCACAGGGCTGGAGTGATTCATTACATCCAACGTTTACCAGTCTTTATCCTGATCGACTAAATGAAACATTTATAAACTCACAGGTGAGGCGTCGATGGGCGTGGGAAAATGAATGTCTGGCAGCGCAGAGTGAGAGATGGGGTATCCAGCAGTGCCTTAAAGCAAAGCATTCACATCTATTTTTTTATTAAAAGGCAGATTTTATCTGTCTTTTCCTCCAGTTTTTATATTCATGTTCATTCATGTAAAAACAAATTAGTCATCATGACTAAAGAGCCCGCAGAAAGGCAGCAAAAACCACAGTGGAACAGATGCTAACATTTAGCTTTATCCAGATAAATGACTGTTTGAAACTATTTAGCTAAACTTTGTTTGATTTGATCATCAGTTCCTGATTATCGCTCCCTGAAGAACAAGTTCTGATTGATGAGTGATTCCACATTGCATTGATCGCTGACTGAAGTGGTACTACAGTGCTGAGCACCCTTCACCTGCTGTAGCTGTACACCTCGAACAACAAGAACACTTTGACTATGATGTAATATTCCGAGAGGAGAACAACTGACTTGAACTCTTTCCGCCACCATTGTGAAAATGCTCGTTCAGTGTGTGATTTGTCTTGTGGAGGTAAATCATATTTGCAAAGCTAATTCTGCTGTTTTGTATCGTTAATATATACTGAGTATAATATATATTGTAACTCATTTTAAAAACTGTAAAGACACAAGTTGACTAGACTAGTGCCACCTGCTGGCTTTATTTTTAATTAGTATCACTTTCCATGCAGACGTGTCTTGGTTACTTGCAAAAGTGAGCCTAAACAACCATTTTCAGAAGGCTGACTTGTTGCATACGAACACTAGGACAAAAAATTTGAGCCCATTAAAAAATGACCAGACAAATGCCTCCTAAAATATGTGTTAATTCAGTCACAGGTTGTATTGTTCCATGTTTAAAATGCAAAAATTCTCAATTTTTTTTTTTTTGAAAGTGACATTAATTGTAGTTTGCCGCCTTTATGTGACATTTTATGACATAAACCATTGTTCACCTACCTTTGCACAGAGTTTATGGTTTTGACACCAGCCCAAGGATACATCACTCTGTGGAGAATTAAAAAAAAAAAAAAAATTAAGTGAATTCTTTGCTGTGCAGCTCGATGGCTCCATTACTGAGATTGTCATTTTTCTCTGAGCTGAATTAGAAAACACAGTAATGATTATTTACGGCTGACAAGATACTAAATAAGCCATAACGACAGAACGACTCTGCTGCCGCACACAGTTGTTGTCACTGATGACGGCAGATGGGCGCACGTGGCCTTTCAGACACTGACATTTGTCCTGTCAATAAATAAAGAGAGCGTGATTGAAGGAGGTCTGAGTAAACTGTCTCCTCTGGGACTGAGGATTCGTGGAGTGAAAGTCTCCGTTTTCTTTATTTCTCTTTCTTTCTTTCTTTCTTTTTTTACTTCTTCGAAAAACCAAGTGAGCTGAACTTCAGCAAATCACTTAACTACACTTCAGTGGAGCGGCTGCTGTGACAGAGCTGAGCGAGCAGAGTTCTGCAGGAATAAAAGCAGGGATGCTGCCACAATCATGGCTGCAAATGTTCTTGTTTTGAACCAACGCACTAATGAGAGGAGAAACTCTGGACTGACCCCATCCTGTCACTCAGTGGCTGATAGACAGTTCCATTTCTGTAGTGCTGCAGTTCACACTTCAGCAGCCATTGACCTGATATCAGCACTGTGTTTTCCTGAATGACCGCAGCTTCCAGGAGCCAGTTAGTTAAATTGCATTGTACAACTTAAAAGTATCCTATGCTGTTTTTTCCACCCTCTAGTGGTAAGGGCTATAGATATTGATCTCAACACCTACTTAGGTTATGGCTACACAATGAGACCATGGTCTAATTAACAAATAAGCAATAATACCAATAACATCATTGTAAAAATCAGGACAATGACACACGTGTCCTCAGACTGTACCCACCTGGAGCGTCACTGAGAGTGTCACAGTGACAGTGTGCAGACTCAGGCAGCGGGATGCACACCTTGCCCTGGAAACACTTTTTAACCAGGAACTGTCGTCATGTATCCTGGGGCTCACATGGAATCCAAGGAGAAAAATAATCCACACAGACCCAGAGCTGCCTGTGACCATCGTCATCATCCTCAGACTCTTTCTGTGGGGCTGGGAAAACAAGAGAAAGTCCTGGGAGCTAATCTGATGGAAGTTCTCATGAACTACGAAACTATATAGTCAAGCTAAGGGAGGAGCTAGAGCGATCAGGGCGCACTGAGTTTGGACCAAGATGCTGCTGAATGGATGAAGAATCCCAGCATGAAGTCCTCAGAGCTGGGCCGTGAGAGGACACCTGATGTGATGATCCAGAACATCACAGATGCTCTGAGGGGAGAAAAGGTGAGAGAGAGAATCAGCTTCTTAATAACAGGTGACCAGTTATTTTACATTTCTGTCTGAACATGACAAATTGTACGACTACATGGAAATACAGATCATTAGACAAGACAGGAGGCACTTGATACGGTGTCCTCCACACAAAAGCTACAATAGAGTTATAGATAGTATAGACACACAAATCTGCCCATGTTTACACATATATGTACATATATACATAGAAATATATATATATATATACATATATGTATATATATTTATACACACATATATAACCACATATATACATATACATATAAATATACACACAATTTATTTATTTGTCTTTATAACACTGAGCAGTGATACCCAAACTGGGGGTACAGCCCCTCAAAGGGGCACACAAGGCAAATACATTTAAAATTCAATATTTTGTTTCCCACAAAGTTGGGAAACTGAACTTATTATTATTAATAACAATCATTATTGATTATTAAATTTATGTTAAGTAGGTTTTTTACTGTTTTTATAGCAAATTCTGCTATTTTTTGGAGCATGATTGGGTTTTGCAGTAAACTCTGCCTCACCTCTTACTGTAGCACTGATATAAAAAACCTGTGATTTTTACACACAGGTGGAACAATTTTCCCAGAGTGTGTGTCGTATTTTCCAGGGAATACTCTGGTAGATCTGGTAGCTACAAAACAGCAGCATTTTAATGGAATTCTTAAAAAAAAAAAAAAAAATAACCACAAACATATCTCTTCTAAGCAGCCAGGGTTCTGCGAGTTTCCTCGCCCCAGGGGAAGCAGGAGAAAACATGACGTTTTGGAAACTCTGAGGAGATCCTCCTCAGGTTGGCAGTTTCCTCATGTCTGGCCCCCGCGTGTGTTGAATGCGAGCCATGCGGTGTTAACAAGACAGCCCCCGTTTACATTCATAAATACATTCATAAACACATTTGGACTGTGCTGCTATTCCTCAGATTTTTTTTTTAAACGTGTATCTTTACAAACTAATGAGCCTTTTTGCTGCTGAGAGTTTTTACTTTCTCTGATTCATAAAACATCAGGTTCGTTGCACCTTCACATACTGTATAACATCTCACCGACTAAAGGGCAGCTGAGGTCCTGTCCCTGACCCAGGTAACTGCTTGGTTCTGTATCCTCTTGTCCTCTTGGGACACATGGAATACAAGACTAAAGCCCGGCTTCCATTAATGTTCTGCTAATGACATTTTCAGAGGTTCCTGAAGAGCAGGGAAATGACTAGAGAGAGGCAGTAGCAGAGAGACGACGTGGGACAGATGAAGGAGCGGTAGCAAGGTCTCCTACTACCTATTTTAATACATCTATTTTTGCACACACAGTCGTACATGAAATGGACACAATTAGCAATGGATACAAAGTCACCTGCTGCACAGTCAGAGGGACAGATGGGTTAGGTATAGGTGTGGGGTGAAATCAGAAAGCCTCTGAGAGTCACTTTCACTTTGCAATGTTGATGGTGAACAAGGCTCTTTGTACTTCCTAACATCCTGTCCATTTGCTTCGGCTCTTGTATAAACTAGATCATAGAATCCCGTTTTTCCCGTTGCTAAATGTCAAACCCAAAATTAAACTCATATTAAATACATCTCCACCGTTTTATTGATCACCAAAATCTAAAAAAAAGATTTTATTTTTCTGTCAGCCTTTTCTGATATTATATTAGAAACAAGATGAGATCCTATTAATTAGCACAATGGGAGTTTCCAAAATTGGTGCCAGTATTTCCGAAAATAAACGTTCACCACAGTATCAGCGCGGGCACATGGACAAATACAACCTGGGGAAATATGATATGAGCTGTAGCTAATGAGTTCATCTGCAGAGCAACAACACAAAGCTCTGTCTATAATAAGACTTCAGTCTCTATATTTATATTCCACTGTCATCTAACACTTTTTTTTACAACATTTAAATGTAGACAAATGTATTTTATAGGGGAATTTCCCAGCTGTGACATTTGCAGGAGGTTAGTTTTCACATTTAATGACAGTAGGAATATAAAAATGTACAGTTTCATAAAATGTTAACGATCATGTTGTGAGTCGTGTGTTGGCCGTTTCTGTGTAAAGAACAAGATTTAAAAAAAAAAAAACGCACTGGGCTGGAGCTGATGAAGCTCACATTTTTACATTTCTGTCGGTTAATAACACACCAAACACACAGCACAACCACAGTTAAACGACAACAAAACAAAATGGTTAATAACACACCAAACACAGTTAAACGACAACAAAACAAAATGAGGTGGGGAAAAAAACATTATTCTTATGTCTTAGTGTTACGTTTTGTAATGTTGGGAAGCAGGCAGGGAATTATTTAAACATGGATCAGGTGCAAAAGTTTAATAAAAATAAATGAGACTCACTGGATACAGGTCCAGGCAAGAACAAAGAATGACCTGAAACCAACCAAGAACTAGAACTGTAAACAAGGCCCACATGGTGTGGACAACTACACAGAACAATGGCCAACTGAGGATTGAGTGAGGGACAGATGTGTATATACGCCCAGGCCACCAGGTGACAGCAATCAGACTGATGAACAGGTAACCACAGGACACAGGACACAGGTATGATGACACTGATTGCACACAGCACAAGCAGACAGAAGCAGGGGGAGGGAGACAGACAGACCTCACACTTGGTCTTATAATTATATATAT